AAGGTAATCATCATTTTCAGAATAATATAATTAGATGTTAAAATAGAAGTAACTAATTATAATTAGTATCCTTTAAACCCCTCTTAGGGTAGGTTATTATTTTGGTTATTTAGTCTGTAATATAAGCCATAAAAACTGAAAATATAACAAGAAGGGTTTTATACAATAATACAAATAACGGGTTTGGTTATTTACTGGGAAACTAAATTTCATACGTAGGTAACACTAAATTTCATAGGCTGGTAATACACTGGAGGTATATGGCTCATGACAGCTTTAAACAAGGGAACTACTTTGGGTCGACACCGTCTGAACAAACGTGTCAGCGAGAAAATTGAACTACACACAAAAAAGTTGCTCATAAAATGATTGATTTGGATAATAAACGTAGCGCGTAAAATGTAAAGAATAATTTTGGTAACTAAATTCTAAGTTTCCTACTGAACAGATGCTAACTTGACACTTGTCAATCAATATTCTGCTTTCGCCAATCTTTTCGTCGACAGAATTCTAAAGGCCGCTTCACATGAGCTATTTTCCCTCTCAATCTTGATCAGTCGTGTGAACATGAATTTTTACGAAGAAAACTATTTCGGTATTTCTATTACAATGTTATTTTGTCAACTTTAGAAAATTCAAATGAAGTTGAAAACAAAGAAAACTAGAAGGGATATGTATGGAAGATTATCAAGTCGTTGCTCGTGAATGTGCTCATCCTTGTTGACTGCTTAAGAAGTTGGCACATCCCCTGTGGACAGCACTTTTCCATTTAGAAAATCTGAGAATTTCACCTACCTCTTCTGTCCTCCTGAAATTCCATTAAAGACATTTTTCTCTAAATAACACCCCACCCCCTCCACGCACCCTTATTCCTTTCACCTCCAATTGGAAATGCCTTTATTTTATTTTATTTTAGTACATTTGCTTGGAATAAAAGTTTAAAAGTTAAATGTTCATGAAGCATGTATGAAAAGGTTTAGTTTACGTAACCAAAAGCGAGTAAACAATTCATATCAAGTGTCAAGAAGAGTAAGCATACTCTGCCCGGCGCCACACTCGTCATTGCTGCTCAACATATACATACTCAATAGGCATAGCCTCGACCGAAACATCTGGCCTAATAAACAAGCGTATCTTATACAATATTTATTATATCGGCTGTCAACAATAGATAAAGCTGTGTATTATTGTTGCTGTCAGGAGACCACCACGGAGT